CTTTAACAAAGAGAAATTTATTCTCTCATAGTCTAGGAGGCTAGAAATCTGAATTCAGGGTGCCAGCTCTAAGGGAAGACTTTCTTTCTCTGTCGGCTCTGGGGGAATATCCTTGTCATCAATCTTCCCCTGGTCTAAGAGATTCTCAATGCAGGGACCCAAGGTCCAAAGGACACACTCCCCTCCTGGTTCTTCATTCTTAGTGGCTTTTTTACATGTCAAAAGAGATTGACCCAAGATACAACCTAATCTTGTAGATTGAATCCTGCTTTATTAACATAACTGCCTCTAATCTTGTCTCATTAACATCACAGAGATAGGATTTACAACACATAAAATCACAACAGATGACAAAACGGTGGACAATCACACAATACTGGGAATCATCGTCTAACCGAGCTGACACACATTTTGGGGGGACACAATTCAATCCATAACAAATGGATTACAGTATTTGTAGAATATCCACTCTGGCAATCTTTCAGAGTAATATAGGAAAAACTATTTATCCAAGATGGCTTAGGTTTGATTTTATTAAAGACAGAAATGTAAATTAAATAAGCTATCAAAATCTCTATATCAATGATACAATATTTGTGTTCATATATTAGAAAAGAAAATAAACTGGTTTTGGTAAAACCTGTATTTGTCCTTTCACGCTATTTACAAAGTGCTTTCCTTCAGGAAAATCACACCTGATTGAGATTGTAGGATTATCAGTACAGAAACGGGAGGGAAAAGAACACAGAACAGCACTGACACACTAAATTTTCCTTTTTCTGGAAACTGGTATCTCCCTTAATGGTCTCGATATCTTCCTCACTCATCTACAAAATCTGCTCATTTAATTGAACTAACCAAATCACCTACTGTGTTATCCATCCCATGGGTGCTTCGAGACGCACAGTCATGCTGTTCTTAAGAGGGAAAGGTGAAAATGGGTTGCATGTAGAACTAGCTCCCAAAACACCATCTTATCTTGCTTTGTGCTTGTCTCCAAAAAAACCCCCACTAAACTTGCAAACCTGTTGCCATCAAGTCGATTCTGACTCACGGCAACTCCATGTTGGAGTAGATCTGTTCCACAGGGTTTTCTTGGCTGCAATCTTTCTGGAAGCAGATGGCCAGGCCTTTCTTCCCCAGCACCACTGGGTGGTGCCAACCTTTAGGTGAACAGTCGAGTGCAAACCATTTGCACCACCCAGGGACTTCATGCTCGTCTCAGCCTCCATTTATTCTGAGTCAGTCCCGTTCTGCTTTCCCTTCTAGCTGGTTGCACAGTCTGCACTACTAGTTTTCTAGACTTTGCTTCTTGTTCTCTCTTGGTAGGGTGTATACTGTGACTACAACTATTTAAAAAGGAAGAAACAATCTTATGATAAAAACGTATCAAAATGGTATGGTTTGTGTAGTAGGACAATGTATGATTTTTCTCCTTTTTTCCATTTTTAGTATTTTAAATATGATTTTATTACCTTTATAGTTTAAAAATAGTATAATAAACATTGATGCAAATAACATGAAACCTTTTTTAAAGCTCATATGACTAACATGGAAGTCTCTGATGAAGTTTTTGTTTAGAAATTTCACTTTGAGACTACAAGGATACAGATTCAAAATGCTTTATGAGATGCTAGAGGGCAACGGCCAATTCATAAAATGCTTAGCCCAAATCGACTCAGTACATTAACTGTAACACTCAAGGGAATACTGGTAATCTTATCTAAAAGTTTCCAATGACTGGGAATTTTCCAATGACTGGAAATGTAAAGCAGAAGTCCTCAAGCTTTAATGAGCATAAAAATTACCAGAACCATTGGATTAAATGAGACTCCTCAGTCCCTGCCCAGAGATTCAGACTCAGTACATGTGGGTGGAGTTCAAGCATCTGCCATTTTTATCTTACGAGCAAAGGAATGATACAGGTGGGCGGGCCACAGATTGATCTGTATAGTACAGTGGTTAAGCTTGGGATTCTGTAATCAGGAATCTAGGTTCAAAACCTGGACTTGTCATTTACTAACTATATATGTTAGGAAAGCTACTTTACCTCTCTCTGTTTCCTCATCTTTAAAATGGGAAAAGCAGTAGCCCCCTCAGTTCTCTAGCCATGCTAGATTACATGCCATGTGGTTCAGTGGTGGTAGATTTCTCACCTTCCATGGAGGAGACCTGGGTTTGATTCCTGGCCAATGCACCTCATGAGCAGCTACTACCTGTCAGTGGAGGTTTGTGTGTTGCTGAGATGATGAACAAGTGTTAGCATTTAAGGACTATGATGGACTAGGAAGAAAGGCCTGGCAATATTTCCAAAAATTAGCCAGTGAAAACCCTATGGATCACAATAGTCCCATCTACAACCAATCATGTGGATGATGCAGGACCAGGCAGCGTTTCCTTCTGTTGTGCATGGGTGCGATATGAGTCAGAGGCCAAGCTAACGGCAGCTAACAATAATATCTCTATTCCTTTGTTTCTGCTATTCCCTTTGCTTGTCATAAATTTGTTTCTACCTCTTGGCTTAGATAAACCTTACTTTCCCTTCCATATCTGTGGTGGTTTTAAAACTATGTCCACAAACTCTCTGATGCTCTTCTAAGCGTGATTCCCCTCCCCTTCAATATAGGCTGGACTTAGTGAGTTGCTTCTAACAAATAGAATATGGTAGAAGTGACAGTACATCACTTCTGCTATTACGATATTAAATGACTGCAGCTTCCATCTTGGTCCTTCTCTCTTCCTCTCTCTCAACACGTGCTCTGGGGAAAGCCAGATGCCTGGTCATGAGCAACCCTATGAAGAGGACTAGTGGTGGGGAACTGAACTTGGAAACAAATTCTCCAGCCCCTTTTGATGACTATAGCCCTGGCCAATAACTTCACTGTAACCTCATGAAAGACCCTGAGCCAGAACTACCCAACTAATATACTCACAGGTTCCTGACCCTCAGAAATTGTGTTAGCTAATATTCGCTGGTTTTTATTGCTTAGCTTTGAGGTAATTTGTTACACAGCAAATATACGACACTCAAGTTCTCTGACCAACTCAGACAGGATTTTTCCTTTCTGCTTTGCCATAGTATAACTATTATAATATTTACCATGATGTAGTAAAGATGTTTGCTTATATGTTTATATTGCAAGGCTGTGAGCTCCTCGAGGGTGAGCCACCTTTAATTGTATTAAATGAAAAAAATCAAACTCAAGCCTGACACATAAGAGTCCTTTTACAATAGTTAAGCTAATAATTAGTGTTTCCTGTGTGCCATACAAGGCGCCTTGGTGGTGCAGTGGCTAAGCACTTCGCTGCTAACCAAAAGGTCGACAGTTTGAACCTACCAGCTGCTCCATGGTAGAAAGATGTGGCAGTCTGCTTCCGTAAGGATTACAGCCTTGGAAACCCTGTGGGGCAGTTCTACTGTGTTCTATAGGGTTGCTATGAGTTGGAATTGACTCAACTGGAATAGGTTTTTTGTTTTTTTTATGTGCTATACATTGTTCTAAGACCTTATTATCCCATTTAATCCTCATAGAAACCTCTGGAAATATATACTATTATTACCCCCATTTTATAGACGAGGAAACCGAGGTCAAATTATGGAGACGTTGAGTAACTTGTCCAAGGACACGTGGCTAGTAAATGCTGCTGAATTAAAGAATGAGTAAGTTTCTTAGAAACAGGACACTGTTTAACTCATCTTAGAATTTCTTACCGTGCTTAACCCAGTATGCAGGTGGGACTCAAATATTTACTACATCACCCTCTGGTAATAAAAGCAGCTTAGTAACATGAGAAGGAAGTCTTAAAAAACCTGATTGTGGACAATTTGATTTCCAAAACATAATTCTTTTCCTTTACAAAGAAGAAATAAAGATGACAGTAAAGATACGTTGTGATGATACTAAAAATAAACTTTGGAAGGATTTTACCTTTTTCTGAAATCTCCCCAATAAATACTTGACAAGAAATAAAGGATATTGATGGGTTTGATTACATAAAATATAAAAAAACTAAAGGGCATGTAAGCCCCATAGACACATCCAAACTCCCTGAGGGACTGAATTGCTGGGCGGAGGGCTGTGGGGACCATGGTCTTGGGGAACATCTAGCTCAACTGGCATAACACAGCTTATAAAGACAATGCTCTACATTCTACCTTGGTGAGTAGCGTCTGGGGTCTTAAAAGCCTGTGAGCGGCCATCTAAGATACTCCACTGGTCTCATCCCTTCAGGAGCAAGGGAGAATGAAGAGAACAGGATACAAGGAAAAGATCAGTCTGAAGGACTAATGGTCCACAGCTACCAAGGCCTCCACAGGACTGAGTCCAGTGCAGCTAGATGGTGCCCGGCTACCACCACTGACTGCTCTGACCAGGATTACAACATAGGGTTCTGGACAGAGCTGGAGAAGGATGTAGAACATAATTCTAACTCACAAAAAAAAAAAAAAAAAGACCAGATTTAGTGGCCTAAAGGAGACTGGAGAAACCCCGAGAGTATGGCCCCCAGACACCCTTTTAGCTCAGTGGTGAAGTTATCTGCGAGGTTCACCGTTCAGCCTGGGAGTAGACAGCCCTGTAAAACCAAATGGGACTAATGAGGTACAGTAGTCCAGTGACAAGGGCCAGAAGGCAGAAGGGGACAAGGAAGCTGGTGATAGGGAACCCAAGGTTGAGTAAGGATATTGTTGATGTGTTGTGAGATTGTTAACCATTGTCATAGGGCAACATGTGTAGTAACTGTTAAATCAGAAACTATTGTGTTCTGTAAGCCTTCATCTTATGTGAGAATAGCAGCATGATCGGAAGGGCATAGTCAATGTCACTGAACTATACATGTAGTAATTTTTGAAATGGTGTGTCTTTGGCTATGTGTATTTTCACCAAAAAAAAAAAGGTTGAGAAGTTAGAGGGTTGACATGTTGTGGGGTTGTTAACCAGTGTCACAAAACAGTATGTGTACTACTGTTTCATGAGAAACTATTTGTTCTGTAAGCCTTCACCCGAAGTACAATTAAAAAAAAAAAGAATATAATGTAGATAAAAATCAAAAAATAAAAATAAAAATAAAAAAACAGATTTTACTGAATTTGGTGGTTCAGAATTCAAAACACTTCTACAGAGAATAAGATGTAAAATGTCTTTTTTTCCTTTGCCAATAAAAAAGCTTCTATTGAAGTCCTTTTGAAAGACAAATTTCAAGTAGATGGTTGTATTTGACTTCTGTGGCTACTCTAAATAAGCATAGCACCCACAAAGCATGACCCCTCCTGTTGAGGTCTCTAAATCAGTACCTAAATATGAGGAACCTAAAGTCAGTTTACATTCATAGTTGGCTAAGTCTGGAAAGCAGCTTGAGGCTTCCTATTTTATAATTTTTGACTTGTTCTCTCTGAGCACTTTCTTCCCACTCAATAGCAAGTAAAACCCAGTTGTCGTGGAGTTGCTTCTGACTCATGGCAAGCCCATGTGTGTCAGAGGAGAACTGTGCCCCACAGGGTTTTCAATGGCTGTGATCTTACAGAAGTAGATTGTCAGGCCTTTCTTTGGAGGCACCTCTGGTGGATTTGAACCTCTGACCTTTCGATTAGCAGCCAGGGACTCCTGCTAATAAGTAGGAGGTCTTCTATTATTTGGTAAATGGTGGCTGTTTTTATCTTGATGTCTTGATGGTTGGTTTGGGAGCTTTACTCCTCTTATACTCCACCTGTATAGTAGAGATTAATGAAAACAAGGATTTTGGAAGCTGTTAACAGAATCCTTAAGCATAGGTAGAAGCTAAAGATAAGTGATTATAATGACAGTAAATAGTATCCTTTGTTTCTGTAGGGTTTAGTGTTTCTACTACAAGATAAAAAAAAATAAAAAATTTGCTGTCGAGTCACTTCCGAGTCATAGCGACCCTATAGGACAGCGTAGAACTGCCCCATGGGGTTTCCAAACAGCAGCTGGTGGATTTGAACTGCCAACTTTTGGTTAGCAGCCGTAGCTGTTAACCACCGCACCACCATGGTACAAGACAGTACTGTCATAAAGTGCCTGCTGGGAATTACCCTGAAGAGTTCACTTAGGACAAAGGAGACTAGAAATTTCTGTCATTAAAGAGCCTTGTCTTCCATACTCTTGAAAATTAAGCAGTACATTTCTAATTGTATGTCTTGAAAGATTAAGGGTACTTAGCAAACCATTTTGTATTCAACAATTTGATCCTTACCTTTTTAAGTTTTAATATCTTCTGTAAAATGGAGACAATAAAAATATCTGCTGTGGGAATAAAAAGACTACAGTAAAAGTGTGTAGTATAGTTCCTGGTACATAGAAAGTAATCAATGTTGTTGATGGCGTGTGCTGTCAGGTCAGTTCCAATTCACAGGGACCCCATGTAACACAGCAGAACGGCCCCACAGGTTTTTCTTGGCTGTTCGTATTTTATGTTATGACAACCGGAACTAAATCCTTAATTACCTATTAATTACTTGTAATTTATAAATTACATTGTAAATTAAATTGTCACTGGAAATCTTACAGATAGTAAGACCGTTTTAATAAACCTAAATTTCAAAAAGAGTAAGTTTCTTAGTTACCTAGTTCTGCTATAACAGAAATACCACAAGGGGATGGCTTTAACAAAGAGAAATTTATTCTCTCCCAGTCTAGGAGGCTAGAAGTCTAAATTCAGGGCGTCAGCTCCAGGGGTTGGTTTTCTCACTCTGTGGGCTCTGAGGGAAGGTCCTTGTCATCAATCTTCTCCCGGTCTAGGAGATTCTCAGCACAGGGACCCTGAGTCCAGAGGACCCGCTCTGCTCCTGGCTCTTCTTGCTTGGTGGTAATGAGATCCCTCTCGTCTCTGCTCAATTCTCTCTTTTATATCTGAAAAGAGATTGACTCAAAATATAACCTAATTCTGTAGATTGAGTCCTGCCTCATTAACATAACTACCTCTAATTCTGCCTCATTAACATCAGAGATTAGGATTTACAATAAATAGGATAATCACATCAGATCACAAAATGGTGGACAACCATACAATACCAAGAATCATGGCCCAGCCAAGTTGACACACAATTTTGGGGGCCATAATTCAATCCATAACACCAGTATAGATCAAAAGACATAAAAACGCAAATACTACTGGACCCGGAAATAACTCAGCAAACGTTATGCATGGAGAGTTAATTGTATTATTCTTTTTATTTTGTTTTTGTAACAGCTTTATTGATATATAATTTACACACCATACAAATCCATATGAACTGTACAGTTTGTTTTTTACTGTATTTGTAGAGGTGTGTAACTATCATCACAATTTTAGAACATTTTTATCACCTCAAAAAGAAGCCATTTAGCTATTGCCCCTCAATCACATATCCTCATCCTCACCCCACCCCAGCCCTAAGAAACCACTAACCTAATTTCTTTCTCTCTAGATTTGCCTATTCTGGACATTCCATGTAAATGGAATTATATATGATCTTTTAGTGACTGGCTTCTTTCACTTAGCATAATGTTTTTAAGGTTCATCTATGTTGCAGCATGTATCAGAACTTCCTTTATATGACCAAATAATATTCCATTGTATGGATATACCACATTTTGTTATGCATTCATCAGTTGATGGACATACGGGTTGTTTCCACCTCTTGGCTACTATGAATAATGCTGCCATGAACATCTGTGCACAAATTTTTGCATGGACAAATTTTCATTTCTCTTAGACATATACCTAGGAGTAGAATTGTCTTATTCTCATACTAGTGAAAATTAGAAGCAATTTCATGGTGCTACACTTTTGGGGGTATTATGGAGAAAAAAAATGTTGGCTATGTAGAATGAAAACTATGTAGTAATGTGGAAAATGCTACACGAAGTGAAAAAAAGCAGGATACAATACACTTAAATTCTTCCAGGGCGTCTCATTCTCTATCATTCTGTGGAATCTGCCCGCTGCCTTCTGATCTGGTCTCCTTTCTCTCCCCTCAATTCTCTGAGGTCCAGACACACTGGCTTTCAGAGATTTTTAGAATGTCTCAGCTTCAGAGTCCTTGTGTATGCTCTTTTTCTGCCTGTATCACTCTTTCTCTGCTTCTTTGCCCAGTGGTTTCAAGTCTCGTCTTAAATGTCACTTCCTCAGAGAAGCCTTCTCTGATATCCCTAACTAGGACAGAGTTAAGTGTTTCCATAGCAGCCTGCAATTTTCCATCTTGATACTTTTGATACTAGTAATTACTTATTCAATCAGTAATCAAATATCAAGAGCGCTTTACAGGCAAGGATACAGGGTGTAAGAAAACACACAAGATCCCTGCCATCCAAAAGATTATATTCCAGGGAGGGGATATAAAAGTAAACATATCAACATACCGAGTAATCCTCTTTGCTTGCATTGTAAACTCCATGAGATCAGGAGCTATTTCTGTCTTGGTTACTTCCATTTGCTGGAACTTAGTACTGAGTCTGGCCTGCTGAATAAGATTAATAAAAAATTTTTTTCACTGTTAAAATAGGCATATAAACGGCAGAAATGGAGAACAGTAACGAGACTACTTCTGGTTGAGTTTGGAGTCTTTTTTTCCCTTTTCTCTTTCAAAACTTTCTGTAATGCAATGAATTTCCTTTATAATTAAAAAGATTAAAGGAACAAAAGATTACCATAGGTGAGCAAAAGAACCCCAAATAAAACACATTTATATGTCATCATACGCTAGTTAAGGAACTGGTAATAATGCCCACTTCGAAATAGACGCGTTCAAGTGGATAGAATTCCCTTGGCACATTACTTAACAGGTTTCTGGCCCTAAGTCATAAAATTTACCTTTTCAAATGAGGCCTTAAATACCCAAGAATGTCTTTAAAGATATGATCCCCCCTCTCCCCCGTTTTCCATTTCTAAAGCGCTTTAGAACATTGCTCCACCCATGGTGTGGTAGCGAAAAGACCGAATTCCACTTACACGTCAATGGTAAGAAAAAAATACGTAATTTTTTGCGAGGTCAACTAAGAATGCAAGCTCTTTACAGAACAGATAACCAATCAGGCTGGGTAAAACCAGGCAGCTCTATGCTTGCCAGAGTAACACCCGTAAGAATTCAACCCCCAAACTGAGCACTCAGCGGCTTCTTTCCTCCCCGTGCGCATGCGTAGCGCACTCTTCAGCCACGGCTCGCCTCTTCCAGAGAGCAGAGGTGGCGCTCACGTCATCGTGTGGGCGATGAAGAACCCCTCCGCTCCTGCAAGGAAAACGAGTTCCTGCACCTTTGGCTTTTGTTTGTCCACAGTAAATGTCCGCTGTCCCCCATCCCAATGCCAACAACTTCCCCGTCCCGTCTCCAAGAACGAAGATTTTTTTTGGACTTCTCTGTACGTTCGTTGGACGGAGAAGGCAGCACAGAGGAAAGGGGTGGCGGACGGTGAGAGACCAATTGTGTTGTTTACAAGGGGTGAGAGGAACTGAGAATCGGTCCGCGAAGGCGGAGCCGAGGCAGCCGGCACCTCTTTCTCTCTTTCCTCTCTCCCCTGCTTTTCCCGCGAGGCGACGCGGCAGCGCCTCTGTCTCGCTTTTTCTTATTTTTCCCCCTTTTCCCTTCCTTTTTTTTTTCTTCCTTTTCCCCCCCTCCCCCCCTTTCACCATTTCCCCTTGGAGGCGCATCCCCCGGGCAGGGGCAGAGCCGGTCTCCCCCTCCGCCTCTCCCCGGCCCCCGCCGCCCTATGGCGAGAGGGAGCCCCCTCCCCACCCGGGCACAAGCGGCGGCGGCGGTTGGAGGAGCGGGACAGGCGGTGGCGGCGGCGGCCACAGGTTTGGGGTCATCATGGAACTAATTCGCTGACTGATCCGACCCACCACCGCAGCAGTGCGTCCCGTCCCGCTCAAGCCCCTGCGCCCACCTGCCCGGTTCCCCCTCTTTTCCCTCCTCAGTCGGCCCCGTCCTCGTCCCGTGCGCTTCGCCGCCGCGCGCAGAGGAAAATGAGGTGGTAACGGGCCCCCGGATGACCCCGCGTCATCACTGCGAGGCCTACAGTTCTGCCGGGGAGGAGGAGGAGGAGGAAGAGGAGGAGGAGAAGGTGAGGGGGCGGGGCGGGGGACTCGACGCTTCCTAGTGCCCGGCGCCGGCGCGCTCCGCTTCTACGGCCCCAGGCTGCCCCCTTTCCCCACCGCCCCCCGCGCCGCCCCGGTGGAAGCGGCCCGGCCGGCGCGCGCCTCGGCGGACCAGAGCTGTCTCTCTCTCTCGCCCTCACGGGCCGTGCTTGAAAATGCTCTGTTGTGTTCCCTTTCAGGCCAGTTTTTCTGTTAGCGAGTAACTTTTCTGTAGCAAGAGCGTATTGCGTACTTTGTCGTGCCAGTTGTACGCACCGCGAGCCTGTATAATACCCAAGAAGGCACACACCCCCACCCACCCTTAAACTTTAACGATCCCGCGCGAGCTACTGGAAGATGATTTATATTGCAAAGTGGAGTGAATGCCAAATGAATAGGGTGAACTGCTGGTGCTGGTGCTGGTGCTGGTGCTGGTGCTGGGGCGGGGCGGGGGGGGGGGGATACTAAGAATGGTGGGAGTAGAGTTGCACCCGGAAGGGCAGATAAAGATACCGAAATATTGTAAGGAAGGCAAAGAAAGGAGCCTTTGTTGAGCAAGGGGTTATGTTGCAGATCATGTTGGTAGGAATTGAGAGAGTGGAAGATCTTTCTGGAGATAGGATGGGATCAGACTGTGAAGGTCTTTGAATGTCATGCTAAAGTATTCAAATTTTATGCTCTTAGTTGGGAGCCACTCAGTGTTAGAGCAGAAGAGCGTGATGTTTTATGATGTTAAAAGCAGTTGTTGAGGCACGTTATTTGCCAGGTACTGTTCCTAAGTGGTTTACCACTCCTTTATTCCTCACAGCGACTCCTTGGAGGCAGGTAGCATACTCATTTTATAGTTGAGGAAGACCGAGGCTCCGCAAAGTTTAACTTTCTCCTTAGATAACACAGCTAGAGCGCTATAGCCAGGATTTCTTCCTGGGCAGTCTGACTCTTTGCTGTGTGGTTTGTGTCCCAAAATGAATTTGTTGAAAATAACAATAGTGTTATCTGTTTCTAGCTTTTCCCTTGTCACTTGTGTCAGAAGAACAGAAGAGGATGGATAAATAGACTAAGAAACAATGGACAGGACTTAGATTGTAACTGGGGGAGTCAGAAGGGTGAAATTTTGAGCTCATGGACTAAGAGAGTGGTTTCTTAACAAATACCGATGAAGGACAGACCAGTAGAGAGAATCTGCCTCTGTTGCGAAAGTGTAGTAGAGGTGATTTGCAGTTAGAGATGTTTCATGTGACGGTGTAAATTCCTAGTAGTTTAGGAAGGAACTCTAGAATGTGTCTTGGTCAAGAATGGAAGCTAAGAGTGTGTACATGTTTTATTCTAATTGTTTAATGCTGTAAAAATGAAGAGTAAGTGTTAACCTTTCTGCACACATTTCTTCAGTTGTAAAATGGGCTTGGTCCCTGGGTGGTGCAAATGGTTAAGCGCTGGACTACTAACTAAAAGGTTGGCTCTTCAGACCCATCTAGAGGCACCTAGGAATTAAGGTCTTGTGATCTGCTTCTGAAAGGTCACAGCCTTGAAAACCCTATGGAGCATTTCTACTCTGCACATGTAGGGTCACCATGAGTTGGAATTGACTCGATGGCAACTGGTAACAACAAAATGGGTTTAGTAATATCAACTTCGTAGAGTTGTATGAGGATGAAATAAGTTAATATAGCATAACACTTTGAATAATATCTGGCCAACTAGTAAGCACTGCTTTTACTTGTTAAGCACTTAACAAGTGTAAATTATTATTGTTTATTAGGCACAATGCTAAACTCTGGAGATTATTTACCATCAAGGAATTCAAGGTTAGAGAGGGAGGCAGGTCCACAAATGTTCAGTTATCACGGAGCAGTTAAGTGCAAAAATAGAATTATATCCAACTACAGATTAGAATCACCACTTGTCAGTTTGTCATACTTTGGTGGCTTGGGTATTGCTGTGATGCTGGAACCTGTGCCACCAGTAGTTGAAATACCAGCAGGGTCACCCATGGTGGAGAGGTTTCAGTGGAGTTTCCAGATTAAGGCAGACTAGGAAGAAGGACCTGGTGATCTACTTCTGAAAAAACTGGCCAATGAAAACCTTATGGATAGCAGCGAAACATTGTCTGATATAGTGCTGCAAGATGAGCCCCTTGAGTCAGAAGGCACTCAAAATATGACGAGGGAAGAGGTGCCTCCTCGAAGTAGAGTTGACCGTAGTGAAGTGGATGGAGTAGAGCATTCAGGATATTCATTTGCTAATGGGGTATGACTCAAAGTGAGAAAATACAGCTACAAGCATCCATGAGTCAGAGAAAATTGGAAGTTGTCAAAAATGAAATGGAACGCTTGAAGATCAGCATCCTAGACATTAGTGAGCTGAAATGGACTGGTATTGACCATTTTGAATCGGACAGTCATGTCATCTGCCATGCTGGGAATGACAAATTTTAGAGGAACAGCATCACATTCATTGTCAAAAAGAGCATTTCAAGCTCTGTCCTGAAGTACAGTGCTGGCGGTGACCTACAAGGAAGGCCAGTTAATATGACTATTATTCAAATTTATGCACCAACCACTAATGCCAAAGATGAAGAAACTGAAGATTTTTACCAACTTCTGCATTTTGAAATTGATCAAACATACAGTCAAGATGTAGTGATAATTGTTGGTGATTCAGATGGGAAATTTGGAAACAAGAAGGATCAGTAATTGGAAAGTATGGCCTCGGTGATAGAAGTGACACTGAAGATCACGTGATAGAATTTTGCAAGACCAACAATTTATTCATTGGAAATATCTTCTTTCAACAACGTAAATCACAGCTATACACATGGACCTACCAAAAAAGACCCAGACCCATTGCCCTCAAGTCATTTCAACTCGTAGCGACACACGAATCTGGCCGGATGGAGTACACAGGAATCAGATTGACTACATCTGTGGAAAGAGACGATGGAGAAGTTCAGTATCATTAGTCAGAACAAGTTTAGGGGCTGACTGTGGAACAGACCATCAGTTGCTTATATGCAAGTTTAAGTTGAGGCTGAAGAAAATTAAAACAAGTCCACGAGAGCCAAAGTACAACCTTGAGTATATCCCACGTGAATTCAGAGATCATCTCAAAAATAGATTTGACACATTGAACACTGATGACTAAAGACCAGACCAGTGGAGGAATGACATCAAGGATATCATACATGAAGCAAGCAAAAGGTCATTAAAAAGACAGGAAAGAAAAGACCAAAATGGATGGAAGAAGAGACTCTGAAACTTAGTTTTGAAGGTAGGGTAGCTAAAGTGAATGGAAGTGATGATGAAGTAAAAGAACTGAACAGAAGATTTCAAAGGGCAGATCGAGAAGACAAAGTAAAGTATTATAATGAAATGTACAAAGATCAGGAGTTAGAAGACCAAAAGGGAAGAACACGCTCAGTGTTTCTCAAGTTGAAAGAACTGTAGAAAAAATTCAGGCCTTGAGTTGCAATATGGAAGGATTCTGTGGGCAAAATGTTGAGCAATGCAAAGCATGAAAAGAAAATGGAATACACGGAATCACTGTACCAAAAAGAATTGTTCAACATTCAGCCATGTCGGGGTAGCATATGATTAAGAACCAAAAACAAGTCTCCAGGAATTGACAGAATACCAGGTGAGATGTTTCAGCGAATGGATGTAATGCCGGAAGCATTCACTCATCTGTGCCAAGAAATTTGGAAGACAGCTACCTGGCCAGCCAACTGGAAGAGATCATGTTCATGCCCGTTTCAAAGAAAGGTGATCCAACGGAATGTGGAAATTATCAAACAACATCATTAATATTACATGCAAGTAAAATCTTGAAGATCATTCAAAAACGGGTTGCAGCAGTACATCAACAGGGAACTGCCAGAGATTCAAGCCAGATTCAGAAGAGGAGGTGGAACAAAGGGATATCATTGCTGATGTCAGATGGATGCTGGCTGAAAGCAGAGAATACCAGAAAGATGTTTACTTGTGTTTTATTGACTATGCAGCAGCTTTCAACTGTGGATCCTAACAAATTACGGATAACATTGCAAAGAATGGGAATTCCAGAAGACTTAATTGTGCTTATGAGGAACATGTACATAGACCAAGAGGCAGTTATTTGAATAGTATAAGGGGATATTTCATGATTTAAAAGGAAAGGTGTGCATCAGGTTGTATCCTTTCACCATACTTAATTCAGTCTGTATGCTAAGCAAATAATCTGATAAACTGGACTATTTGAAGAAGAATGTGACATCAGGATTGGAGGAAGACTCAGTGATCTAAGGTATGCAGATGACGTGACTTTCTTTGGGTGCCGAAAGTGAAGAGGATTTGAAGCACTTACTAATGAAGATCAAAGACTATATAGCCTGCAGTGTGGATTACAACTCAACATAAAACAAAAATCCTCACAACTGCACCAATAAGCAACATCATGGAACAGAAGAAATACTGAAGTTGTCAAGGATTTTATTTTACTTGGGTCCACAATGCCTTTGGAAGCAGCAGTCAGGAAGTCAAAGGAGATGTATTGCATTGGCAAATCTGTTGCAAAAGTTCTCTTTAAACTGTTAAAAAGCAAAGATGTCACCTTGAGGACTAAGGTGCACCTGACCCAGGTCATGGTGTTTTCTGTTGCCTCATATGCATGCGAAAGCTAGACAGTGAATGAGGAAGACTGAAGAAGAATTGATGCCTTTGAATTGTGGTGTTGGCAAAGAATACTGAATATACCATGAACTGCCAAAAGAACGGAGAAATCTGTCTTGGAAGAAGTACAGCCAGAATACTCCTTAGAAGCAAGGATGGTGACACTTTGTCTCACATACTGTGGGTGTGTTATAAGGAGGGGCCAGTCCCTGGAGAAGGACGTCATGCTTGGTAAAGTGGAGGGTCAGCAAAAAGAGAAGACCGTCAAGGAGATGGATTGACATAGTGGCTGTAACAAGGGGCTCAAGCATAGCAAAGACTGTGAGGGTGGTACAGGACTGGGCAGTGTTTCGTTCTGTTGTACATAGGGTCGCTATGAGTTGGAACCAACTGCATGGAACCTAAGAACAACAGCAGATCTAGAAAGGCAGGGCACAACTGCGCAGCTCCAGCGTACTATTCACATACTGATGTGAACGACAACCCTATAGGAAGGGTAATGTTGGCCACAGAAGGACACTTACAAGCTGAACAGGGTGGAGAAAGGCGTGGAGATTGGGAAAGAGCACATGGTTATCGGAATTAGAAATACCAGTAGTTTATTATTGCTGGAGCATAGTCAGGGAGGGAATAGTAGAACATGAGGTTCTTGCATGGTCACATTAGTAAATCCCCTCTTTTCAGAAAAGGAAGAACTAAGTTCCAGACATCAGCACCAGCACAGGGTTATTACTAGAGTTGGCATTATGATTAAATTAATTATAATCCCATATTAATGAAGTTGGGTTTCTGTTATCTGCTCAGCACTATGTGGTACTTTTCCTTAGACAATAGTCTTATAAAAGGTGTGTAAAAATACCCTGATAATGTAAGTAGTTCCATAAATCGTTTATTGTTTATTCTTTTTAATAAATTCTTAAATTTATTTGTATATGATTTCAAACTTAAAGGAAGTCCTTTACCTGGGCTCACCTGTTGTTAACATTTTACTCTATTTGTTTTATCATTTGTGTTCTCACTGTGTATATCTACAAGTTATATACATAATGTCCCTTTACTCCTAAATTTTTCAGGGCGTATATGCTAAGAATAGGGATATTCTCTTACAGAATCACAGTGCAGTTATCAACTTGAATAAATTTAACATTGATGCATTTACTTTAATCTACCATCTTCCTTACTTCTGCTCGCATTAGGTTTAGTTTGCTCGTCTTCCAGTATCTTGAAGTGGAAGATTAGATTAATGATTTGAGATCTTTTTTAAATACAGGGATTTACAGCTATAAATTTCCTTCTAAGCATTGCCTTAGCTGTATTCCATAAGTTTTGGTATGTTTCATTTTCATTCATCTCCAAGTATTTTCCAGTTTCCCTTGTGATTCCTTCTTTGACCCATCCACCTTCCTATGTTTTAAAAAAGCTACTATAATCTCTAAATATTTGCGAGTCTTACTTGGGAACTTAATTTTGGGTATTGGAGAGCCGAAATCCCTTGAACCTGGGTTTATTCCTCTTTATATGAACTGTATATTCTCCTCTGCTTCCATTTATCCTTCCCTAAAAATGTGCTTCAAAAGAAGCTACCTTCTAAGGGAAAAGTAGTCACAAGGTGCAGCCAGCCACTGAGAAGGACAGTGGATCCTGTTAAGCCACCCTGTTGGGTATAGCTAATGGAATGGAAGAATTAGTTAAATAATTTTGAGGGTTCTGACAATAGTTCATAAATTACAGACTAAAAATTAGATTTGAAAGAAGACTTAGAAACCATGAAATCAAACCTCCATCCAGTATAGGTGTTTCTTTCTAAATGCCTCGTGAAACATGGTCATCCAATTTATACTCCATTTCTAAGATTAATATTTATCTCAGCTTTAGATGAAATTATAATGAGCCTGCTCATCTAATTGTGGAGAACTTGAAAGAAGTACTAAGGTGGCAAAATTGGAATCTCACAACATCTCAGCAGAATACAACAGTGGATTGAACCTAACAAGATTATTTTTTTAAAGAAAGAATACATGTGAGGCTCTGCACAAGGATGTGCAAAACAAACAAATACACAGTGGAGTGGGATAGGTGGAGAAGAGTTGACCTAACAGTGTACCTGGGAAAGTCTTAAGATTATTAGTTGACCATAAATTGAGTTGGTAGTATGGTATGGCCTTTAAAAAAATAGTGATTTTGACTGCATTAGTAGTTAAACCGGTACTAATTTAGAAGAGCAGAAATCATGTCATGTGAGGAACCATTGAATAAACTATTAAAAAAAAAATGAATTGGTGAGCATAATGTCATCTTTCAAATATTTGAAGGATTGGCTTGTGAAAAGGGAGATTAGACTTTGGTGTTTTGGTTTTCTTGTCCCAAGAATTGAAACTGGAACCATTGGTTGAATCCTTGTTTCATCAGAGTACTGTGCTGAAGGCGTAGTGATAAAAACATGGTAGTTGTGACCTCAAAGGAATTTATAATTCAGTAGAATAGATTTAGGGAAGCTGCTTTCAGAGGAGAGAGAAATCATATCTCATTAGAGAATGAAGAGTTCTTAGAAGAAATTACCTTTGAAATAGACTTTTATGGACAGGTCTTATTTCTTTTGTCTCTCATTTATTGCTTTCTTAGTGTCAAAAGAACATCATTGTAGAAAATTTGCAGAAAGTCAGAAGCTTTAAGAAGTAAGAAGAAAAAAATCTAGTAAAGCAGGGCAGTCTGTAGTAAATTGAGTATTCTTAAGTAAATAGAGTGAGGTGAAGTATGTAGTGAAGTGATTAAGAGGAATTGAGGATAGTCGCTGGAGTTGAAGGGGATGTGGAAATTGAAGGCGAGGTTTATTTTTGGTTTTTCAGTTTAATTTTTATCAAAATTCTGGAACTTTATGTTAATTCCAAGCATTTAAAAAAAAAAAAAAAAATCCTTGAGTCCCACAGATCTGAAGCACGTAACATATGTATGTAGTTGAAAAGTCAGATATTTACATGAGATTTATAATGAAAAACAGCATTCCCTACTGCAGGCCTTCCTTACCCTTTTCTCACTCCCCAGGATTAATCACTCTCAACTCTTAACCTGTTTTTCTTGTTATTTGAGATTATATTTTCAAATAACTTGTCCTACTGTTGTTTTTTGCTGTTGCAGTTTTAGATATTACTTGTGAATTCTCTACTATGAAAGGTAAAGATTTGGGTCTCTCGTTCTACCCTTTCCCAACACCCATACACATGTCCCTTAATCCTTTATCAAGGGTCTTACCACAATGTTGGTTGAAATCCATATTCAGTATTTTTATTATGGCTATGTGAATATTATGGTATATTAATGATTACATTTATTTGTATAATCTTTTTCTGAAGTTAGTTGTCATTTGATTAGCATTCATTAAATCTAGCCATCTTTTCACATTCTTTTAACAGCCTCTCAATTCAATTTTCTACACAGTCAAACCGCTCAAGTCTGTACTTTCTTTTTTAAACCTAGAGATATCTATCCTGGACTCACAGTTGCCCTGCACTGATTTGCACTATTGCTCTTTAGACTTGCTGTTCTGTTGTACTTGGAGTCCCTTTCACCATACTTCCTGGGAATTGTCTTTGCTTCTATCCTGTGTTAGATCCCTGTTCCCTGGATTCCATGTGTTTTTCTTCATTTGCTCCCTTATTTTGAAGATATACATTCTTGAGTAGCTTCTTGAGAAAGGGTACACAGAAAATAAAAATTGAGACCTTGCATATCTGAAAAGTTCTTTATTCCACCCTGTATTTTCACTGAGAGTTTGGCTGGGTATTGAATTTATTTCAGAAATTCTAAGATAGAAATTATTTTCCTTCAGAATTTTGAAGGATTTGTTCATTTGTCACTTAGCTTCCAGTGTTACCGTTGAGAAATCTGATTTCACATCCTTTTTATATGACGTGTTTTTTTGTTTGTGGATTCTCTCTCTCTCAGAATTTTTTAAGGTCTTTATCTGTGGTCTGTTATGTCACAATAATGTGTCTTAATATGAATCTTTTGTTATTCATTATGTTAGATACTTTCATCTGGACACTCTTGTCCTTCCATTCTGGATTTAGAGGGGAGGGGGTAGTAAATTATTTCCTATATGATTTGTCTTCTGTAAATCTTCTATCCTTTCTTTTTTGGAACTCAGATTAGTCCAGCTATATTAGAGCTATAATTTTCTTAACTTTACTCTCCTGTTTTTCCATTTATTTGCCTTTTTGTTCTACCTTTAGGATAACTGAGTTTCAAACTTAAAGTGAGAAATGTTTTAGATAACTGATTATTGTAACATTTTGATATATATTTTAAAGAGCTGTAAAATTCTATGCTGCCTCATAACATTATTGTTTTTTGAATTCCTTAATAACTACCAACATACATACATATATGTATACACATACACACATATATAATGCTATATTTATTTTATAAGTAAAGAGCATTGTTTATATTTGATTTTATAGGTAGCTACATCAAACTGGGTGACAGGCAGATCCAAAGGATATCATGAAGTTTCCAGGACCTTTGGAAAACCAGAGATTGTCTTTCCTGTTGGAAAAGGCAATTGCTAGGGAAGCCCAGATGTGGAAGGTGAATGTGCGCAAAATGCCAACAAATCAGGTAATGATTTCTCTCTTCACTCTAGATAGATGAGTTATATTAGAAATATGTGTACTTTTGTCAAATATAATAAATAATATCTTGACAGCTGCATTGGAGAAACATGTACTGTTAAATGATACACTCTGTTCTTCATTTCATGTCTTTCTGAAGCAAAACGAATTACCTGCTTTTGTCTGTTGTTTTCTGAGTTAACAACTTTAGGAATAGTATCTCCTTTCTTCTTCCTCCTGGTCTAATACTAACAGTAGTAAGCTTTCTTTATTTCTAGATATGTAGTTAGCCATGGAGGCTGAATATCTTCATACCATTGTCTTAGTGGACAAAAATACACTCTACCATGCATCGATATTTATAAGGGGTTCAAGTGAACTACCAAGGTAATACCAATGTTGAAAACTTTTTGGGGAACAGTCACCTCACCTCTGAATTATTGCTGGCTATATGTCTTTTAGAGATCTCTATACTTCTATCGTATAATTATCGTTGTTTTTTTACAGCTAACTGTGAATTTTATCCCCTCCAAAACTTATTGTATGTCTTACACATCTTTTATTCCTAGTTCCTAACACTGTTGCTGACATATAGAATAGTGGCCAAGAAATTTTTTATATGAAAGTATGAGTGAATGACAAATATCTAAGCCCCTCCTGGTTTAGGTTATTTGTTCATAGGTTATTGAATTGAAACCTGTATGTTCTGCCCTACTTCTGTCATTCTTTTCCACAAGCTGAAGAAGTACGTTTTACATTTACTGTTAATAATTTGTCATGTAGCAAATTGAAGACTAGTTGGCCTGAATGAGTACCTTCTAGGAGCGTTTGCATGTGCTATCTCATTTAATATCTCATTTAATGCATGAGATATTAGGCAGTAGTTGTAATGTTAATAGGCAGTAGTTCAAATTTGCTCAAGATTAGTGAGTCAGAGTGGTGATAGCGGACATCTTTGTCTCATTTCCATTCTCAAGAGGAAGGCTCTCAGTCTTTCTCCATTGAGTACAATGTTGGTTGATGGTTTTTCATAGATGTCCCTTAATCATGTTGAGGAACTTTCCTTCTATTTCTAATCTAGTTGAGACTTTTTATCAGGAAAAGGTGTTGGATTTTGTTAAATGCCTTTTCTACATCTTTCCTGTGGTCTTTTTGCTTTTGTTGTATTAATGGGTGTTGCATGTATAGATTTTCTAATGTTGAGCCATCATGCATTTTTGGAATAAATCCTGCTTGGTCATGGTGTATAATTGTTTTAATATCTTGTTGGCTTTTGTTTACTAGTATTTTGTTGAGAATTTTTACATCTGTATTCGTGAGGGAATGTCTATCTGGCTTTGTAGAATGGGAGTGCTGTATTTTTATGTAAATAGCATGCACCTTATACATTTGTTTGCCAACCCCTTTCTCCCCCACAAGGTATTTTTTAAGTGTACTATGCTAATTTTCTTTTACAGCAACATGTAAAAAAAAATTGGCATAGTGGCACTTTTGAAAATACCTTGGGAGGGGAGGGAGCGCTTGGCAAACAAATGTAGGTGTGTGTTACTTGTATAAAAATATGGTATTCCTTCAGCTTCTGTATTTTGGAAGAGCTTGAGCAAAATTGGTGTCAATTCTCTGAATGTTTGGTAAAATTCTCCAGTGAACCTGCCTAGGGATTTTTTTGGGTGGTTGGGGGGAGGGAGGGAGAGTTTTTGTTACTGATTCAGTTTCTTCTCTTTTTATGGGTCTGTTGAGATTTTCTACCTCATTTTGTGTTAGTTTGGGTAAGTTATGTGTTTCTAGGAATTTTTTGTCTGTTTTTTAATTTGGTAGAGTACAGCTTTCTGTTATGACCCTTTTTATTTTTGTTGGATCTGTTGCAGTAGCTCCAGTTTAATTTCTTACTTGGGTTATTTTTATCCTCACTTTTTTTTTTTTTTTTTTTTTTTGGTCAATCTGGCTAACGGTTTGTCAGTTTCATCAATCTTTTCAAAGAACCAACTTACAGTTTTGCTAATTTTCTCTATTGTTTTCCTATTCTCTATTATTTCTGCACTGATAATTTGTTATTTCCTTTTGATGGATCTGGGCTGAGTTTGTTCTTTTTCTAGTTCCTGAAGTTGTAGAGTCAGACTGTTGATTTGGGATTTTTCTTCTTTTTTGAAGTAGGTGTTTATTGCTATGAATTTCTCTCTGATGACTGCCTTAGCCATATCTCATAGGTTTTGGTATGTTGTGTTTTCATTTTTGTTTAACTTTTTCATTTCTAACTTCAAATCTTTTTTTTATTTCACTCTTGATGTCTTCCTTGAGTCAGCATATAACCAGCAATTACACACTTTTATAGCCTGGTCTTTGGAAATGATATTCTAACAAGATTGCAGTATATTGCTGTATTACCACTTAATCCAGCCTATTTCTATAGGTAATCACACAACAGTATCAGAACTTCTAAGAGGGAACAGCTTAAGGATTTGCCTTTAGTAAAGCCAAGTAAAAGCCAGACTTAATACTTATGTGAGTTGGTTTTGTCAGGTGAGGATAATAGCTAATTTGGGGATGGTGGTAAAGAGCTGTTGGTACTTGAACTGCTTGCCAGAGTAATCCCAAGGGACACTTCTGTATTCAAATTCTTATTCCTTCATGTTCTTCTCTCACTCTCAGAGACTGGCTTTTCTACCCCTTACTAACCATAATCTCCCTCCTTTCTGACTCCTGGTAGAAGGAAGAACAGTCTTGTCCCTAAACCGTATATGTATTTTTTTTCTAACTTTCCTTAATGGTTTTTTTCTTTTTTAACTGCTGGTGAAAATGGAAAAGTAAAATATATTTAAGCTTCTTTTTGTGTCTTCTCTCTGGTGTTTCTGACTCCTCCTTCTTTCCCTTTCCGCTACCGTGAGATCATTCTCTCACAGAATTTGCCTTCAGTTTGCACCCTCTTATCTTCCAATTCAAGGAGCCTTGGTGGCACAGTGGTTAAGTGCTTGGCTGCTAACCCAGAGACTGGCAGTTCAAACCCACCAGACGCTCCATGGGAGAAAGATGTGGCAGTCTGCTTTCGTAGTGATTAAAACAAAAAAAAAACCTGTTGCCATTGAGTGGATTCTGACTCACAGTGACCTAAAGGACAGCATAGAACTGCCCCATAGGGTTTCCAAGGCTGTAATCTTTAGGAAGAAGAGCCCTGGTGATGCACAGTGGTTAAGTGCTCAGCTTTAAACCAAAAGGTCGGCGGCTCAAACTCAACAGCTGCTCCATGGGAGAAAGATTTGGCAGTCTGCTTCTGTAAGGATTTACAGCCTTGGAAACCCTATGGGGCAGTTCTACCTTGTCCTTTAGAGTCGCTATGAGTCAGAATTGACTTGATGGCAGTGGATTTTTAATCACTCCCCTTATATATGCTCCTGCAGCACTCTATACTTCTCTTAAAATAGCACTTATCACACAGCGTTGTAATTTCTCAGTGATTCGACTGAGTTCCCTTGGGGTAGGATTGTATAATTTTTGTTTACTGGCATATAATAGGCTCTTAGTAAATATTAGTTAAATGAATGTTAATTCATTTCTTCATAATCCATCCAAGTACCAACTATGTTCCTTGGCACTTGTAGTTTAGAGATGTTCTTTTGTATAATAATAGTACTGAAATTTGTAACAGTCAATTCTCATTATTTGTGATCGTTGTATAAAGTTCACTGCAGACACTAAATTAGCAGTTACTGAACCATTGTTCCTAATTGGGAAATACAGAGCTAGGTTCTTGTGAGCCTCTGGTCAGATCATTTTTGTCAACTGATAAGTGCATAACCTTTTTTTTAACGTGTATTTCTGCTTAAAGACACCTTAGTTAATATATATTGTTGATTCATTAACTTTGAGGTCATGGCCAGCAGCACTGAAACTCATGCCTTAACAAAGCTTAGCTAACATACATACTTTCTCCGTAAGGCACATCACAGCTGCCTTGCACCTATGAACACTAGATAGCACTTCAGCACTATGCTTGGGGGTCATTTTAAGAAGCGAAATCATCAACAAAAGCAAGCAAAAAAAAAAAAAAAAACCATGGTATTAAATAGACTGCAAAAAGGACACTTTTTTACATCATGAAAGCTGAAAGAAGAAAGCAGAGCATTGCCGTGTCAAACCTTAGATGGGAATGTGCATGTCGAGTGACTCAAATTTTTCGCCACTCTGTGCATGTCTGCAAATGACTTCAAAAGCTCTGCTAATACAGTAAAACCTGCGAAAGCCAGAACCTGTGTCAGGTGGAAACCTGTCAGAGAAGAAAAAGTCAAATATTTTCCACTAAAACAGTTACATTCTCTGAAAGCTGGAACCTGTGAGACTTGGACGGAATCAGAAAATCGTTGGTATTGCAACCTGAATACAAGGAAGTGCAGATGTAAAAACTGGAAATAGTTGCAAGAAGTACAAGAGTCAGAGATGAAGAGTCTATCTTCCACTTCCTTTTACGAGCATCGTTTTTCAATAGTGTATACACATACCTCTACATAATTTGAGTAAACATGCAAATCGTAACAAATGGTTTAGTTTCTTTTCTAGTCCTAAAATTGAAAAGAAACACTGTAGGTGTTTGTGGGGTAGGATTCTTAATAAGAGAGTGATAGAAGAGTGGTAAGACTGTATCCTGTCAAAGGCAGAAAACTTGGGAGACTCAGAAAAACAAGGCAGTCCATTGAGTTCCAGCTCTCAACAGGTTTCACTGCTAATTTTGGTGTTAGAAATAAATTTTTGTCAGTAGGCAAATTTCAGAATACAGAATCTGCGAATAATGATATAAATTCGGAAGAAAGTTTTTTTAAAGTTAAAGTGACACTTCCTGTGATATTTTCGATCTATTTTGCTAAAGTGCTTCTGATTTACAAAGATGAAACCCTGCCGCAAGCTGTTTATATAAAGGTGGTTTTCATTAGAACTTAGAGCACAAACACACACAAATTCTCTCTGAACATTGTTGATAAGTGTTAGCAATCCTCTAGTTTGGACACTTTCAGTGAG